CTTTGTAAATCAGTGAAGTGAAGCAATGCGAATCAAATTAGACAATAAAAGAATCAATAGTCTTATAAATAGTATTTTTATTTGCTAAATATTTAACTAAGATATTTGTTGTTTAATGTTGAAAATCAATTAGATATAGCTATATGTTAACATGCAGTTCAAAAATGATGTTACCCTGGGATAAGTTAGTTTCAGCTAACATGTGCCTGTAATGGGGAGTAAGGGAAACTGTCAAAAAGTCTAGTCAGAGAAAAAAACTTATGACTAGCCAGTAGCCACTATAATTCAGTTACAATATTGAAGCCATCATTTTCGGTATAAACTGTTTATTACTTACATGTACTTGCGGTGTTCGATTAGTTTTATTTTACAAACTGAATTGGTAATTAAGAAATGTCAAAATTGTATACTAGTATATAGATGTACCTAGGTTATTTTAAGTATCAAAATAAATTAATGAAATATAACTCTATATAACTTATTTGAAAAACGTACATGCAAAAAACAAATACCAAACAATTTTTAGATTGATTGTGTCGGTGATGGTAAATACAAATGTCAACAATATGGTGTTAGCGGGTACCCTACACTAACAATCTTCAAAAATGGAGAAGTTAGCGCTCCTTATGAGGGGCCTAGAGACTCGAGTGGTAAGACATTTAATGGATGGACAATTTTGTGTGAAAGAGTATATTTTTCCCAATTTTTTATTGAGATTTTGTGCATAAAATATGCATGTATGCACAAAGCTCAAATAAAGCATAAATTGTGAAAACTATGCTTTTGATAGCCTTGCCCAAGTCGGTATTTTTTACTCATCTGATCTTGAATTATTACCGGCGGTCATAATAGAAATCAAGATAAGTAAAAGAGACCGACTTGGGCAAGGCTATGCTTTTGCTTATATGTGATAATTTAAATTGTGCAATCTAGATCACTGAACACAGTTTGTATTGTTGTTTGCATTACTACCAAACCTCAAAGATTATCTTATGTTAGGAAGTAGGAATGGAAAAAGCAAGAAAAGCCAGGCTAGTTTGGCTGGTAACATGGACTCGATTCTGTCAGTTGAAGCTGTTAGGTAATAAATGTAGAGTTTTGGTTTAGAGGGGGGGGGGGGGGGGTTGTTGCATTAAATAAAGTATTCTTTGTGGTTTAGTCCTGAGTAGGTGCAGTAGTATTTGATCTGGATTGTACAAAATATTGCTTCAGATGAGGGAGATTTGCATCGTCATAGCAACCCTTCTAAATCACATTCATAATTTTTTCATTTTTAGGTGGACTGTACAGGGGATGGAAAGGGCACTTGTGATAAACAGGAAATTAATGGATACCCTTCTATAAAATTGTTTAAATCAAAAGGACGAAAGTCTTTCAAATATGATGGCCCTATGTCGGCTGGTAAGGTTACATACTGGATGACATGTTTTTCATTTTCATGTTTTTACTTTGAATATTACTGATGCAAACAATTTGAAATTTTCTGGGATGAAGACTCTTATCCCAAGGCTACAGAAAATATGAAACCATGCATGTTGGAATGCACAAGTTGATGGCAGACTTTGAAGTCAGAACCTTTACATACATTTACATTTTTAATGTTGTCTAAAGGCCTGATTTCAGTTTCCATAGCAACACCAACTCACATGCACCCCACACTCCTTAGTTCCATAATCCTAGACATATAGCTTTTGTAGACAGTTTTCATAACCTCAAATAATCTTGGTCAGGTTGATTGTGACGATGAGAATGCGAAGGGAATCTGTGCAAAATATGGCGTGGAGGAAAAAGGGTTTCCACTGATGTATATTTTTCGTGATGGAGAATTTAGTATGGAATACACTGGTAACATTGATGAAGCTGGTAAGATCTCTAGAGATAACAGGGAATGTTTGTGTACTATATCGTCATGGCAGCTAGTGGAGAATGGGTTGCTACTATAGCAGCCAGTTAAATGTTGTTACTTTCAATTTTTAGGAACCTGTTTGAATTCAAAACGCATGCACATGCAAAGTAATATGCAATATGAAAGTTTTCACTAAAGGTGGTCAAAATGAAGAAAATAATGAGGGATGTAGGACCTCTGGTAAGAACCACCCATGCGATATGAAATGGCAGGGTGGTTATAATTTCTTGGTTTATTTTGGTGATTTATTACTTTGATGTTCTCAGTACTAATTGGTTGGTTATTATGAGAATGAAGAATACATCTAAGTTATGAAGGGGATGGGCTTGGACATTGAACGCCTGACCTCGAGGGATGATGTATGAGAGTTCACGAGTTTACGTTGGTCATTACATCGCTTTTTCTGCTCAAAGCTCATGTCAGACATTCCATGCACAAGAAATATTGGCAAATGTTTTATCAACCAAATAGCCAATTTCAAGTCCCCCTCAGGCCTCTGAAAATTTCAATACCATGGTACAAAATTCAAAAGTTACTTTGGTGAGGGAGAATTTTCTATCAGCCTGGGTGGCTGTCCCATGCAATAATTGTCTCTCCAGTGGTTTATAATTTTCCATGCGTCTCACAGCAACTATAGTATCTTTCATAAGTGTTAGATATACAGAGTGGGTAGTGTCAGTTTAGCAAATTTTTACAAGGATGAGAGGTTCAGAGAGTGGAACTTAAGGTTCTTAGGTTCGTGTGTTCTTTTATTTTAGCTCACTTCAATGCACAGGTATAACCCATTGATGAAGCTTTCATATCAATAGAGAAAGGTGCTTCACTTGGTATCACATTTTGCATTCGGGTTATGTTTTAAATACAGATTTTATTGTTCAAGTTGTCTTTGTCTGTTTATTTGGTTAAATTTTGTTACATTCTCCCAAATATGATGCTTTAGTTGGAGTTCAATATTTTTTTTATATTATGTTAATGTATTTATTTTCAGCTTGCAGAAAAGAGGATTTTTTCATGATTGTATATAATTGCAGTTTGTACACATACACATTATGCTTGTTTAGAAACATGAAACTAGGCTAAAGTGAATATTTCAACTGTTTAACATAATATCCTCCCTGATTTTTTAACTACATGTACGATATATGAAAAAATAATAATCAGACAGCTTTTATGAAAAATAAACTGATTTAAGATCACACAAATATTTTGTTCTATTGTGGTAAAAATCTGTGCATCTTTCATTAATGATATTTCACAGAGCCAGAAGGGCAAGTTGAATATATTTTTGTGAAACTGCCACAAGTATTCACATAAAGTAGAATGAAATATTTGTTTTATTATTTTACTGACAAGCTTACCTTAATCAATATTAAAGGTAAAAACCAATCGTACAACTGCAAGCTTGACAGTGATACAACATTTCATGTATATTTTGACTGAAGTTTTTGTATTTTGCAAACACCTCACTTAGGAACACCTGTTCTTATAGTTGGAATCAGTACTTAGAAACTTTCGTATAAAAGCTTTGTAGTGAACACCTACCTACAATGAACAATGTGTTTCTCATTAACAGGTTCTACTGTACATAGATATGCAAATGTTCACGATCCCTATCGAGTTAAATATAAAACTTTGTTATCCATTCATGATGTTAAACAGAATTTAAATTCACTCTTGCCTTACATCCTCTATTTCAGATGAAATAGATGCACAGTATAAACATGCTTATTGTGAAAGTTTCAGCAAAGTGCAATACAAAGGATTTGTTCTCATTTAAAAAATCATAAATGTCAAGAAAATGCTTTAATTGAACAAATTCAATCAATTATTTCCGCTCTAAATGTCAGTCATTTAGCCTTTGATTTTTCTAGAAAATGAGCCCATCCTTTGCAAATTGATTGATTGTGACTTCAGTATATTAGTAACAGAATCTAAATTAAAATATAATTACATTCATTGAAGAAAAATATATTACTAAGGATAGATAAATCTAACAGAATAGTTTATAAAAAATTTGAAAAATTGTTGGCAATATTGATATTTTGATATTGTTCTGCATATTGAGTATTTGTTTCATTCCTCCCAAAGCAGTACTTTGAACATATTTCAAAGGAGGAAAACATGTAGATGAGCTCTGATAAGCCCTGCATTTGGAGGGTGGTCCTTTTAGATGTCAAAACGCTGATTTCCATATATTTCAGACGGAATTATCGGATACATGAAGAAGAAGGCTGAACCAACAACCAAAGTCCTTGACAGTGTAGAAAATGCCAAGAAATTTGTTAATATACAAGATTTTGATGATAATGCCGTTGTTGTTGGTATGTTGCATTTAATTCCATGACTAGGGATTGTGGGTTCACTAGTCTTTAGGATTCTCTCAAACAATTGGAAATATTATCTCACTCTTAAAAATAGGATTTAATTATAGATTCGGATGATGGTGTAATATTTCCCCAAAAAGACGTAATTTTTTGGATTCTATCAATCTTTTCATAATTATCATCTTTCTAAAATCATGTTACTACTATATATTTGTTATATAGATGTACTAAAGGGGATGTTGTTTATTATTCAATCCAAAATTAACTACTTATCGGTTATATTTAAGTGGATATGAGACACAGGGCATCAGATTTCCATTATAAAAAATAATTTATTCAGAACACAAAAATAAGCATTCAGAATCTTAAGCCATGCATATAGTTTAGTTTAGTTTATTAATTAATAATAAATTATCAATTAAATTGCCAAATTTATTTTTTTATGATACTTTATAATATATATATATGAAACATAAAAGCAATAGCAAGGTCAAGGTCAAGGTTGCTAGATAGCAATAACAAGTAAATTTGGCTCCACATAATTTATCAAAAATACATGGATATAGAAACCAGTTGTGGTTTTGGACTGTATAGGAGTTAGTATAAACATACAGTGCATCAGGAGATGAACTCAGGAAGTACTATTGTGATTATATTACTGAACAATTCAAGGTACATTTTCTGAACATTTGCAGTTGGAAATCTCAATTTCTAACATTGGAGCCTCCATACTTGGCACTGCCTTGGTGAGCTAGCTAATTTCCTACACGGTATAGGGACTTGTAATTAGCACTATGGCTAGTCCCAACTTTGCCACAGTAAGTCAGCTACTTTCAACACCACCTGGATTCACACAAGACTTAATTACTAATGACTCATTAGATGGAAGCTTTTCTACAATTATGAGCAGCCAAAGTAGCCCTACTACTAGTATACCAGAAATGCAATCACAAACAGGTGATGCAAGCCCTGCCAATTCACAGACTGTAAACCTCCAAGTACCAGCACAATCACACACTGGACAATCAGGTGTATCACCACCTACACATACACCTACCAATTCACCAAACGAACCACCCCAAGCTAGTGGTGTACCCACACGGCGCCGCAGCAAACGCAGACTGGCTAGATCTCAACCTGCACGCCCTAGCACTGTGATATCTAAACCACGCAGAGGCCGCCCACGTAAGACTGCTCAAGCGTCGCAAGGGGCTAACAAACCCCAAGATCCCACATCCTCACATCCTATTGACTTACTGACAGTTATGAATATGGTGAGGGACCTGAATGAAAGTGTCAAGAACCTTAATAACATGCAAAAAACTAATGAAGATTTAGTTAAACAACTCGCTAGGATAACAGCAGATAAGGAGGAATTACATCGAGAAAATGCTGCACTTAGAAAACAACTGAGCAATGCTAGTACAATGCCAAACAATACCCTCCCCTCTCTCCTTATTGGCTCTTCCATAGTGCGTGATGTAGACTCAACCAAGCTTGTTAACACTGAAGTAAAATGCTTGCGTGGTGGAACTATTTCAGATGTTCATAAAACACTTTCATCTGGTGACACTAACTACAACACAATTTACCTGCAAGTCGGAAGCAATGATTGCGCCCGAGGTAATGATGTCAACCTTATATGCGAGGACTACAAATTACTCTTGGCAGGTGCAAAGCAGCGCTCAAAAGACATCATCGTTTCAAGTGTTACACCTAGAATGGACGACTCAGATGCCCAAAGCAAAATTGAACAACTAAATGGATTCTTACTCTGCCATTGCTCCGATGAGAAAGTCACATTCATCGACAATGACAAAATCTTCAAACTTCAGGATGGGTCCATCAATGATGGCTTTCTGGCTGCTGACCACCTACACCTATCTGATTCTGGAACTAACCGACTTCTGAAGAACCTGAACATTTCAACAAAGGCATCTGACATAACATTACCTAAAAACAAGCGAGCCCCACCCAAGCGCACAACCCAAAGACCACAGCAATCCACACAAAAGACACCACCCAGCCCATATGACTCTGACGCCAACAACACCCCCCAGCATCCACCACAGCATACAACCCGCCCCTGGAACAATCGTAGACCTACATCAAATGGTTACATAAACACTAGCAAAGCAAAGCAACATAACGCCTACAAACCTACTACCCACAATAACAATGCAATAAACAATACAATTAAGTGCAAAAAATGTGGTGAACCAGGACATCTAGTTACAACATGTTGGCACCCTGCAACGGTCCGGTGCCATCTATGTAAAGAACTGGGGCACAAGCAATCCCTGTGTCCAAGACCCCTACAACAATCAGACTCTAACATGAATGGTAGCAAAACAGACAATTATCCCAGGGTTAAACCACAAAGTTTACTACAACATAAAAACTCTTACCCTTTTAATGGACCAAGCTATGAATCTTTTAACAGGTTTTCAGTGCTAAGCTAAAATCACGGCAATGAGTGTGCCATATCCAATGTAAAATCCATGGCCTCACCACCTGAACCAGTCTCCAAGTCTTATAACAGTAATGATACATGTAAGTCGAAGAGACCAAGCCCAAACATGCGCCCAAATCGTGGTAGACACAGAAGATCACGGAAACACAAAAATAATGTGCATATCAATAACCTTACCCTAGTATTTAATAATGTACAACACCTCGGTCTTGCCAAACAGCAAGAACTTAAAAGGTTCCTTGATAACAATAAAGTTCACATTATGGGTATGAGCGAAACCTTCCTAACGTCTAACTCCTCTCTATCAGCAACGTTTTCTAACCACACGTTACATAGTAAACCAAGGTTAGGACGCCAAGGGGGAGGTATCGGTATTTTAACCTCTAATACTGACATTAAGGTGACCAATGACAACCTCCTTAATTCAAAAACCGATGATTTTGAACGGTATTGGATTCGCACTAAGGTAGGTGATAAAAACCTTGCACTTTGCGTAGCATACTACCCCAACGATGGAACCAGTAATGATAAGGCAGATCAGTTAACAGAAGAATTAATATCAAATGTAGCAACTTTGGAGTCCATGGGTGACCTAATTTGTGTAATGGGTGATTTTAATGGTAGACTTAGAGAATTTAGAAATGAAAAGAGGCCTAGTCCAAATGGGAATCTGTTAGAGTTACTAATTGAAGTTTCTAACCTTAATGTTTTGAATTTATCCCCTAGATGTAAGGGGAAGTATACTTGGTTTAGGAATAACCTTGTTTCTACCATTGACTATATACTCATTAATGATAAATTCAATCATTGTTTTGATAATATGATAATCGACGAAGCCGGGAACTTTTCAATCGGTAGCGACCACTGTATGCTTATATCATACTTTAATATTCAGGCTGCAAAAGCAGTTAATATATCTGGACCTTTCCCAGACAACCGAGAAAGTCCCAAAATCTGGAAAATAGATAATGATTCTGACTGGAAGTTATTTGAGGAAAAACTATCTTTTAGATTAAGCAATTGGAAATCATCAAGTTTTAAATCCCTGGATGAAATGTGGCTTAATTGGCGTGAAATAATATTAGATGTAGCAAATGAGGTAATAGGTCACAAGACTATTTCCCATAAACTGCGATCATTTTGGGACAATGAACTGAAGCAACTAATCAAAAATCGCAAAGAAGCTAACAAATTTTGCAGGTTTTGGAGAGCATCGGGAATCACAGATCTCGAGGCTTTTCAAGACATTTGGAACATTTATTTAGAAAGAAAAGAAAAAGTTACATTATACATTAAAAGGAAAATGATTGAAAATCACATTAAGGTTATTACTAAGAATGCAAGCAATAAATCTTCAAGCTCCAAATCATACTGGAACACCTTAAATATGTTTAATCAAAAAAGTAATGCCCCTATTAGAATTGCTCACCCAAAGTACTCAGATATCATTATCGATGACCCCAAACAAGTCTCTGCTATTATTAGGGAATATTGGGCAAAGGCCGGTAATAAAAATCGCAATAAACATTCCTCTGTCAATGATTTTTCCAAAGACCTTAAACATATGGAAATGAATCTTACAGACACAGTGGACCCTACGAAAAGCATAATTGATCAAGTATATTTTGACAGGGAATGCCTTGCAACTCACATTAAGAAGTTGACCAATGGCAAAGCCATGGGTACAGATTTAATTCCAAACGAATTTTTAAAATATGGCGGCCAGGCAATTTCTGAAACACTTTTTGATATTTTTACCCAGTGCAAAGACTTTGAAAAATTCCCAGTACAGTGGAAGGAGGGTGTTCTTAAACCACTTCATAAAAGTGGAGATCAAAATATCCAAGATAATTACAGAGGTATTACAGTGACCTCAAATGTGTACAAGCTATTTTGTTCAATTGTAAATGTCCAACTTACATCTTTCTGCGAAGAAGAAAATATTTTTGGAGAAATTCAAGGGGCGTTTCGAAAAGGTCTAAGATTAGAAAATAACATATTTACGATGAAAGCTTTATGCAGTCTTAGAAAAAGTGAACGAAAAAGCACATACCTGGCATTTTTAGACATTTCAAAAGCGTATGATGTAATCGACCGCGACCGGATGTTTTTGGCACTTTGGAAAAAAGGAGTTAGAGGTAAGTTGTGGAGACTATTACGGCAAATGTATCATGATAATAAGACTAAAGTTGCCTTCGGAAACGGAAATGAAACAGATTGGTTCACTCAACCATATGGAGTTAAACAGGGTTGTGTCTTATCAACAACTCTGTTCTCCATCATAATGACTGATCTATATGACCAGCTGATAAATGCAAAAGTGGGTATAAAATTTGAAGAACAACTTATCCCAACACTCATGTTTGCAGATGACATTGTTCTCTTTGCTAACACTGAAAATGAACTGAATGCCATGCTCAAAATTGTTAATGAATTCGCAGTCAAATGGGGCTTTAACTTTAGTCAGAAAAAATCGAAAGTTATGGTTATTGGGAAGAAAACAGACAAGACAAAAGAATGGTCATTTGGAGACTTGAAACTGAGTGAAGTGCATTCCTATAAATATTTAGGTTATATTTTCCACAAAAACCTTAGAGACAATGACCACATGAATGAAACAGCCCTAAAAGCAAAAAAGCTTAATGGATATATCAAATACACATTAAATAGACATATGAATGTTAAACGAATTGACTTTGGAAACCAACTTTATAAAAGTAAACTCTTATCCAGTGTCCTTCACTCATGTGCTATATGGGCTTCGGACAATAAATCTTATGAAACGCGCCTTAAGTCAATGCAATATAATGCAGGCCGCGCTATATTTGATATTAAAGGCACACCAGCATACGAAGCCATTGTGTCTGATTTGGGTTGGACCCCCATGAAATATACGGTTTTAAAAAGACAAGTTGAGTACTATATTTATATCAAATCTAAAAAACCAACTTCACTTAATGCAAGACTATTAGCTTGCATGGAGAAAAGGTTTGAAATGGGCAAAGGGAACCACTGGAACTATGTTAAACATATTGATGCTACCCTCAAACTGATGCAATTAAGCGGTATCTCTGAAACTGCCGAAAATATTTTGTACAGTTACCATAAACAGATATTAGATCTCTCAAAAAAGTACATAAATGAGGGTATTTTGGAAAAAAGTAGTCTCAACAAATACCATCAACTTAATCTGATCCCAAAAAAGGGAAGAGCAACATACCTTTATAATGATTATGACTTCCAGTTGTCACGCATAAAATTTTTAGCACGTGCTGGTAAGTTTAATCTAAACTCAGAGAAATCCAAATGGAAAAATCTAAACCCACCCATTTCACCCTACTGCGAAGAGTGCCCAGATAAAATCGAAACCCTGGAGCACAGACTTTTTGAATGCCCCTCTTATGAAACTGCGAGAAACAAGTTTTATTTGGAAATGAAAAATCAAGTCCCTAGTCCAGTTTTAGAAGTATACCTTGAGTCAGAAACAAGCGATAAATTAAAATGGATAATAGGCGATGAGGCCAGGATTTTAGGTGGACATGATATAAGCGTCACGGTAGATAGATTAAATAAAATATTACTGAAGAACATCTTCTGATTTTATATTTTTTAATGCATAATGAATGTTTTTAAAGTGATTTTAGTTAAGTTTCTTTAAGCCATGTATATAAAGTTTTAATTTTTGAGTATAGACGCACCCATTGAGAGTGCCACTGTTACAAATAGTGTAGTGTCTAAATAAATAAATAAAAAAATAAAAAAAATAAATAGCAATATCTCAATACAGCAATGTTTGAATATTGCAATGATCATTAACTGAGTGTTTTTGTGCTTCAGGTTTCTTCGAGAGTGCAGACAGTGATGGAGCCAAAACCTTCAAAAAACTGGCTGATGCTCTAAGTGAAGACTTTACGTTTGGTGTCTCAACTGACAGCACTATCAATAAAGAATTTAAACAAAAAGAGTGAGTTAGAAATAAATTTTACGTTTGGACACAAGACTCTTTGTGTGCTGAAGATTTTGAAATAGATCTCTCATCTGAACATATGTCTTTGCTATTAAACTTGCTAATGCAACTAGTATGTGTATATATAAAATATGTAGATATCGTTAAGAAGTGATTCTCAATGAATTTTCTACATAAATAGAATAAAATAAAGATCACCATCATAATCTAATGGCTTATTTTTTATAATTTATTATTAGCTCTGTTGTCATTTTCCGTCCCAAGCGTCTTCAAAGTAAGATGGAAGGAGCCACAGCTGAATTTTATTTTTATCTCACTGATCTTAAAACATTTGTCAACAACAACATGTAAGAAAACTATAATATATCAGTAAAGGTTCATCAAGAAATGGAAAGTAAATGTGTGCACATCTACTTTAGTAAAGGCCTTTATAATAATTTATTTAATGCATTCATTTCTTGAAAAGCGGCACTGGACAAGATTACCTTAAACAGATTCAACTTAAAATTGGTTTCAGTACATTACAACTTGTACATTGTCAATGTAATATCTATGATTTTGCCAATCACAAAGTTATTCCACCAATGGCAGTAGTCATTGAAGAATGTTGATATTCATGAATCGATAAATATTGCATGTTTTTCCAGCAATGGTTTGGTGGGACATCGTACTCAAGGTAACCAGGAGCAGTTCCAGAAACCCCTCATTGTTACATACTACGATGTTGATTATAAGAAAAATACTAAGGGTACAAACTACTGGAGGAACAGGTATGACAATTTTGGATTGCGTTTGAGAGAAATAAGCTTGTTTTTAATGTTCATCAATGTACAGTCAGTCTTTCTTTAGATCCAACAAACAAATTTGTAGATTTGTGTCAAAAAGTTCTATTAAATGAAATTTGATGAGAAACTCCAGAATTAAATTATCATTCAAATGAGGTATAACTATGTAACATTAAGGACTTTTTACTGTGGGGGGGAGGGTTGCTGTTGTTGTTTTTTGACACCCTGTATATTGCA